ATATTTTTAAAAGTTACATAGACTTACTTAATCCCCAGTCAGATTTAAGAGTCACTGAACCACATAATGCCAAGTAATTGTTTTATTAGATTTAACAATTGGCCAACTGGAACAGACACGCGCATGTCTGTCAGGCGTTGACAGTGTTTTTCTGCAGATCTAATCCTTAAGTTCAAGATGTAATTGTGACCCTTCCAAAGGCAGCAAAACTGCATCTAGAGTAAGAAATTTAGCCTTCAACTGAAAGTGGGTTTATCCTGGAAGTAATGATGCTAAAAGGCTCCTTGCTAGAACTTATACGTGTCCCCGGAGCCATGCATTTCTATAGTTATAGGAGCGTGATGCTGCAACTGCAAGTTCTGGAAAGTTATAACCTAACCACCATCTCTGCTTGCACACCCAACTTTGAGAAATGAAAACGCTAAGTTCAACTTTACATCAAATTATGCCACAGCATTAGGGACAACAAGGGACAGCTGGTCAGTGAGCACAATGAGTTCAGATAGTCCCTCCAATGTCTCTAAAGAGATGCTCCTGTGGCTAAGAGTGCTTGCTACCCTATTATGAAGACTGGAGTTTGGATCCCAATGTGCATAATCCCTGTAACTCTAGCTCCAGGGAATTCAATTTTCTCTGCTGGTCTTTGTGGGCACTTACACACACACACACACACAAATGGTTGGAGAGATGAGTCAATAGTAAAGACCTCTTTCTGCCCTTCTAGAGGATCAACTGCCAGTAACTCCAGTTCCATGGCATCTCTGACTCCCTCTTCTGGATTTCTCTGGTTCCTGCATACACGTGGTACATATAAACTCATGCGGGCACATACATATACACATTAATAATAAATGACTCCTTTTAAAAAAGAGTAAGGCATGGTTGTAACGTGCAGTTTTCCCTGCCAACTGCCTGGGCCCTGCTGAGCTGTCTGAACCCCCAAATAACAAACAAGATGCTATATTAATTATAAACTGTTGGCCATTTGCTATTGTTTCTCATTGTCTAGCTCTGACTTAATTATTGACCCATAATCATCACTATATATTTTTATAAGGACTTATCTTTTCAAGAACAACAGACTTGCATTCTCTTCTCCGGGGATCACATGGCAATGGCTCAGTTCACTACATTTCCCAGAACTCTCCTCGACTCCTAGTCCCACCTATCTTGCTTCCCTATTAGCCAACAGTGCTTTATTGACATATACACAGGACTTCCCCATCACATGCCTTTAATCTCAGTACTCCAGAGGCAGGGACAGGTGGATATCTGTGGGTTCAAAGCCACCCTGGTCTATGTAGTGAATTCCAGGATAACCAAAGCTACATAGTGAGACCCTGTCTAAAAATAAGAAAAACTGAAACAAGACACGAAAAGCAATGATGCCAATAGACCTGCTAACATGGAAGTGGAAAAGCTCAGGAGGTCTCAACCCTTACAGCCAACTAAGGGATATTGAGAGTGGGAGAAATAGTTTTCTCCAGAGAATAAACTCCTAATTGATTATCCAACACTAGGGGTCAGCCCTAAAAACATACACACACAAGTAACATCCTATAGAGTGAGAAGATTGTATTCATGTGCTTAGGAAGCTGTGTGTGTGTGTGTGTGTGTGTGTGTGTTTAACAAACGGTGGTCATGAATTTGAGACTATGGGGGAACATGGGTTGCTGAGGGGAGGAAAGGTAAGGGAAGAAATGATGTAATCATAACTTCAAAAACCAAAAAACTATTATTAAGAAAATAACAAAAAAATAAGAAGAAACCAGATGGCTCGCTGCAACAAACAAAGCGAACCCAGAGTGGCCTTGAAATCACCTAGCTCCTCTGTAAAAGACCACAGAGAGAAGTTTCCATAGGCATGGTAATGTGACAAGACCTGAAAAGCAATGGTGCCAATATATCCACTAACATGGAAGTGGGAACGCTGAACAGGGAATGCCGATTCTGTAAGGAAGTCTTCTGTACTAGGACTTGAAGAAGCATCCTTGGACACACCAAACAGAGAGAACATTGTTCGCTCTATCAGTCTTGATGTATAGAGCATGACCCACATACAATTGTTCTATGCATAGATCATCAAATAGTTTGCAGACAAATAGTTGTGTTTGGGTGGATAAGCTAACTGGACAGTAAACAGGCTTTTGGCCTTCCAAAAATTTGAGGGCTTTTTAAAATTTGCCAACTTCTGACATCTTCCTGTGGTGGTACATTATTTCATGACTCTAGGTGGATATTTAATATTTCTTATTACTCAGAAATTTAAATTATTTCTCTGAAGAAGGACCTCTGGAGCTGTACACACTTCAGGCTCATGAGCTCTGAGGTGGCTGAAGTCAGTACCTCACCCCCGCACTCTGATAATGGATGTGAAAGACCCTAATGGGTTTGCCCTTTACATCTGCCTCAGTCTCCTGAAAACCAAATCTGCTTATTATTAAGTCAGCAAATGCACCATTGATGGGTTGTAATGACTCTAAAGGAATCTTCGTGGCCAGAAAGATAAATAATACATTGTTTAAAGGGTTTTGAACTCTTACAATGTTTTGGAAGATGCCATTTGTTAGGAATGAAAGAGAAATTAGGAGGAAGGCTATGTCACGGTCAAAGAGAAAATACACAAACAACTAGTTGTGATTGAGCATGCTGGATGAAGATGGTTTATTGCTGACTTCCATCCTAGGGAAATGTTACAAAATCACCCTCATCACAAAAGCAGTTGAGCAGAACCCATATCACAGTCACTCTGGCCTGGTGCAATTCTCCCTTGGAACCTTTGTCTCCTTTCTTGCAAGGTCATGGAAACCTTGGAGATGGTGCGTGGCTTCCCAGAGAAGATGCAAAAGGCATAGGGAAGAAATCGCACAATCTCTCGTACTGCCAATCCAACTGGGTCTCCAAGCCTGCGGAAATCACATCCAGCATATCACAGATGCAAAAGGGGGAGATCCATTCTCCCTCAGTCCTGACCCACATTGAGTAATCTTGGTGTTTACCATCCAGCCTCTAAATAGCCATTCATTTAAAATTCCTTGCTCATAGTGTGTTTAGTCATAGGGTTTAGTAAAAAACAGTTGTCTTTGTAAACGTTTGGTATACACTGGTTTATACAACACCGAACTGATGTTTTACATCTGCACCACGCTGCTTCTCAGAGCCTTTACTAATCTTTCTTTAAGCGCAGGCTGCTGGCTGGGGCTCGGAATGCCTCCTAGCTTGTTAAACCAAAGAACCCTTTTTTTTAGAGGAATTAATATTTCAGGTACCATAACTTTGGGAAATGCTGTTGTGGACCTCAGTAACATGAAGTAAAGGAGTATAAATCCTTTCTATAACATAAAAACCAAGCAAGCAGAACGATTTTACAGTAAAAACTGTCACTATTATTAACAAGACCACGATTGCCAAAGGCATCAACTGTTGTCTAATATATCCTACTGGATCCACTGAAGCTATCGGTTTAAATTTCCACTATGATAATTTTATTTTACAAAAAAAGTTAAGAAAAAATTTCTACCCACTTCTCCTGTAAGCTCTTGTCTGTTACCTCAGGAGATTTCATTATATTTTTTGAGACTTCACTGCATTTATTAAAGAACACAGACTGCCAAAGCAATCACCATCAAAACCCCAAGGTTAGATCTATATATGTGTGTGCACCGAAAATCTCATCATGAAATGCCAAGAGGCAACAGATAGCCTAAACAATTTTGGGGATGTGCAGATGGAAAGGTCTAGTGCTCAGGAATTACTCCTGAATCTAAAACATATTCCAGAGCTACAGGGATCAAAATGTTGTGGTACTGGGGTAGAGACATGGCTCAGTGGTAGACTGTTTGTCTATCACACAAAAAGGCCTTAGTTCAACCCCTGAAATGTGGTATTGTCATAAAGACAGACAAATAAACCATGAGAGCTGCATCCAGAAATAAACTCCTACATGTTTAAATGTAAACAAGTGACCTTTGACAAATGTGCCAAGACCCTTAGTGGAGAAGTGTGATCTCTTCAACAAAGTTTGTTGTTGAAAACTTTGTTGTTTTTCAAAGTTGTTTGAAAAAAGTAGGCATCCATGTATAAAAGAGTGAAGTTGGGTGGCTGGAGAGATGACTCTGAAGACCGGTGTTCAGATCCCAGCACCTACATTCATTAACTCCAGTTTCAGGGGATCTAATGCCTTCTTGTGATCTCTGAGGGCACTAGATACACATCTGGTACACAGACAATCATGCAGGCAAAATAGTCATAAACCAAAAATAAAATAAATACATCTAAAAGTGTTTTAAAGAATCAAGTTGTACTTGTACATGCATAAGATTAAATAACAGTATTTTTAAAACTAGAAGAAAAAACAGGAAAATCTTTTTTTTTTTTTTTTTTTTTGGTTTTTACGAGACAGGGTTTCTCTGTATTGTTTTGGAGGTTGTCGGTCCAGCCCGGCCTCAAACTCACAGAGATCCACCTGCCTCTGCCTCCCGAGTGCTGGGATTAAAGGCGTGCGCCACCACCGCCCGGCTGAGAAAACAGGAAAATCTTAATGATACTGATCTTTGCAATAATTTCTTGTATATGGCAATAAAAATAGTGAGCCAGATAGGTAAGTGACAAAAATGAATCTATCTCATGGGACTCACAGGACACACGCAGAAAGATGGAGAGAGAGCACATGGGGAAGTGTGAGCAAAGTCTAAAATGGGAATCATATTGGCTGGGAATTTCATTCCCTCCTTTTTTTGTTGTTTTTATTTTCTGAGACAGAGTTTCTCTGTGTAGCCCTAGCCATCTTGAAAATCTCTCTGTAGACCAGGGTGGCCTCGAGATCCATCTGCCTTTGCCTCCCCAATGCTGGGATTAAGGGCATGCGCCATCACCACCTGGCGACAAAAAAATGATTTAAATCTGGACAAAGTCCTTCATGTCAGACTCTAAGATGACATACAGAAAACCAACACGCACATTAAAAGATGATGAGATTGCTGGATATCAAGGGTACTTACTGCTCTTGTAGAAGACCAGGGTTCAATTCCCAGCACACACACAGTTTCTCACAACCACCTTAACTCCAGTTCAGGGGGGTCTGACACCATTTTCTGACCTCTGTGAGCTCATGGATTTACTACACATAAGCCCATATATGTAGGAGGAAGTCTGTATGCCGCCATTAAACATGTGACTTACTAGAGGTGCATACAGATGAGGTAATAAAAGGGCGGTTTACCACACCGCTAACCACACCCACTTTAGGCATGACTAAAGACGTATACAGCCGGACGTAAAGACGTATACAGTACGTAGGCGGTGAACTACGTCACTAGCCAGGCCCACTTTTGGGCATGGCTAGGGGGCGTTACGGGGGGAAGGCATAAAAGACAGCACACAGGAAGTCTCGGTCTCTTTTCCTGGAGTTCGGCTTCCGGTTCTGCCCCGGGAAAACTACTTGGCTGATCAGTATCACTAACCATCAAAGAAACAGAGAAAAACCACAGAGAAGCTATATCTCATGAATTAGGATGGCTTCTATTAAAAATTAGGACCCTTCTGCGCTGTTGATAGACTGTACAATGATGCAGGCACTGTGGGAGCTGTCATATGATCTAGCAACTAGGCGTATGATTAAAGGCATTGAAGACATTTGATGAAGAGATATATGCACTTACCGTATTTGTCATAGTAATCTGTATATTAGCCAAGAAGTGGAAAAAACCCAGAGTATCTTTTGATGGGAGAATGGATTTAAAAGAAACATGGTATGTACATGTAACAGAATACTATTCACTCTTCAAAAGGAAGCAATTCTGATACATTTGATGAACCTGGAGGAAGTAATACCTAGTGAAAAAAAACAACTGGACAAAAACTTTCTGACACTTCCCCCCCAAACATTGTTTCAAGTGCTCAGAAAGTAGGATGGTGGTGATCAGGGTAAGTGAAAGGCAGAGAAGAGAATTGTCACTGAATGGGTACAGAGTTTCAGACCCGCAAGATGAAGACATTTTGGAAAGTCTGTTGCAGAACATTGTGAGTTTATTTAGCACTGCTGAGATGTCTGCTTAAAAATGGGTATGATTGAAAATTTAATGACTTAAAAAAAAACAAAACTATACCTAGCTGGGTGTGGTGCGCACACCTTTAATCTTAACACTTGGCAGGCAGAGACAGGTGGATCTCTGTGAGTTCCAGGCCAGCCTGGTCTACAGAGTGAATTTCAGGATAGCTAGAGCTACATAGAGAAACAGAACAATATATACACAAAAAGTAAACTATATGTGGCCTGAAGCACTAGACTTTCTAGTTCCTCTTTTGTTCCCCTCCATTTACCTGTGTTCTGATCCAGTGTTGGAGACAGAATATGCTGGAGCTTATAAATAGATTCACTGGGCATAGAATAAAAGAATAAAAGGAGGACCAGTTGTCCATAGCCTAAAATAGTCTGAATTTGAAATTCCCTTTCCTGTCATGTTTTCTGATTGGTGATCACATGCTCTCATGAAGGATTTTCGTGGCTATAACAGCCTGTGGAGACTTTTGCTACTTAGATATTTGGAAAATGGCTCAACTATCTCTTCTCTCCTATAGATCATGAAAACTTTCAATACCTCTTGGTTTACACAAAGGCATGGTTCAGCATCTGTATACACAGCCTCGTAGCGCCTTGACTTTTATTCACCCTAGGGCAGTGGTTCTCAACCTGTGGGTCATGACCCCCTTCAGATTGCATATCAGATACTTACTTATGATTCACAACAGTAGCAAAATTACAGTTATAAGTAGCAACAAAGCAATTTCATGGTGGGGGAGGGGTCACTACAACATGAGAACTGCATTAAAGGGTCACAGCATCAGGAAGGTTGAGAACCACTGCTCTAAAGATTCAGACCATCCCTAGTGTCAAGTTGGGACCGTCAATGTCCTCAATAGTTCTTAGAATTCAGGCAGCCTTAATATCTTGTTATTTATCTTTATTTTTTCAAATATTCTTATTTCATGAGATTTTTGTTTGCATGTATGTATGTACATCACATGTATTCCTGGTCCCTATGAAGATTAGAAAAGGCCAATGAATCCCCTAGAACTGGAATTACAGATGATTATGAACCACTATGTAGAGGTTGGGAACTAAACCCAGATCCTCTGTAAGAGCAGCAAGTGCTCTTAACTACTGAACCATCTCTCTAGGGCCTAATTGTTTTTTTGGTGGGGAATTTCTAATACAGGTTTTATCTGTGGGTAGCCCTGGCTGTGTTGGTACTTGCTCTAGAGAGCAGTCTGGTCTTGAACTCAGAGATCCATCTGCCTCTGCCTCCTGAGTATTGGGACTAAAGGTGTGCACCATCACTGCCCTGCTCTATCTATTTATTTTTGAAACAATGTTTTGATACGAAGTCCAGAATGGCTCTGAATTGCAACCTTCTGTCTCAATTTCCCAAGATCTGGGATTGCAGCTGGCTATGCCCGGTTCTTAGGTAGCATATGACACCATGCTCCGTTCTTAAATAGACCTTAGACCCGCCACCACACTAGAAACAGAACAGTAATAGTAAGAAAACCAACACCATTGCATCCGAGAGGCTGTCTTTCTTTTTACTAAATGTTTATGCCTTGCTTAAATTATCCAAAGAAAAGCTCCATCAAGGTCAAAAAATCATAAAGCAAGTTTATAATTCTAAGATACCATTTCTGCCTAGTTATTTTCTGACATCTAATGAGGCAGGGTTCTGAAAACAGTGTTTCAGATTTGATTAAAGGATCACAGGCTGCAAAAAGATCTTCCCAAGAAAGGTACATCCCTATCCATCCGAGCTTGCCTTTGTCACACAAAGGGTACTACTTCATACTGAGCAAACAGGAGGATACAGAATTAAGCCTGGAGCTCATTGTTGTTTAAACCATGAAGTCTTGAATGACCACTAGAAAATATGGTAGGACATGGTCACCCATAATTTTTTTTCCAGGAGAGGAAATGGTGAAGTCTGACACATTTGCATCTCTGCATTCTCAGAAGGATCTGGGTAGTGAAAAGCTTCATGGACCATGTAGAGAAAGGAAGCAGATATTCAAATCCATTGCACAGTGAGCCCCTGCATTTCCTTTCTGTTTGCACAGCATTGATATTCTCCTCTATTCCCTCTTCATTTCCCTTGATGCCCTCATTCCTGGATCGAGGGCAATGATGTCACCATCTGGAGTATTAAGGGAAGAGCTCTGACTCAGGCTGGGCAGCGCCTGGAGAGAAAGGATAAAAGGGAAGGATCCCTCAGAGTTTCTGAAAGCCCTGATCTTCCTCCATGTTTTCATGGGGATGCATTTACTCCTGGTTCCCAGGAACAGTTTTCTGACTTTTTTTCCTTATGAAGAAACTGTTTAATCAGGGACATTTGCTTATAGTTTCAGAGATTCAATCTATTATCAACATGACAGGGAGTTTTCTGCCTTCTTAGAGGCAGAGAAGGTAAATAAGCAAAGCCAGAAAATCTGACAGGCCAGGTGGTGGTGATACACATCTTTATTCCAAGCACCAGGGAGTTAGAGGCAGATGAATCTCTGAGTTTGAGGCTAACCAGGACTACACAGTGATACCCTGTCTCAAAACCAAAAGAAAAAAAACAAGAAATCTGGTTCAGCATCCTTCTCTCCCATCCTTCTAAAATTCTTAATGAGGTTTTTATAAATGAAAGTATTACTAATGGTATTTTTGTAAGAATGATGCCAATTTTGAGTCTTGTTCTGGGACAGATGACTGATACCAGGGTAGTGGTGGCACAGGACTTTAAGCCCACTTGGGAGGTAGAGGCTGATGGATTTCGGAGTTCTAGGTCATCCTGGTCTACAGACTGAATTCCAGGATGGCCAGGGCTACACAGATTAAACCACCTTTAAAAAAACAGAATAATGAACTCTGCTTTCATGTCATTTTCTTTCACTGTGACAATCTGATTTCTTCTCCCTGTCCCACTCCTAAATACATTTATTTTTCTATTTTTGCTATTGTACTTGGAAGCAAATTCAAGTTATACCACATTCTTTTCCTGAAACACTTCAGCATACATTTATAGAAGGTAAGTCCCTTTTTTCCCCTTAATCACACTGCAATTGCTAGAACAACGGAACTGGAACCGATAGAATCAACCATCATTCCTTTACACCGTACATAAGATCTGCCTCATCTTTCTGGGTTCAGTGGTTCAAGGGAGGAAGCCAGGATGCATTCCATCCCCATTATTTCTTCTTTCAGATCTTTCCTGTATAAGGCTAGCCTCATAAGACACTGGAGCTTTGCGGGGACTGCTCTTCTTCAATTTGGCTCTCACAGTCTTCCTTTCTCAAGTCATCAGAACAGAGCAACTTAGGGGAATAGACATTCATTATGTGTGCATACATGTGTACATAGACTGAGCAAAACAGTCGGGCTTGGTTTAATGTGCTTGTGTATTGCATATCATCTAATGTGCTTATTCCCTGGGTTTCTTTTCATGGTCCCAACATGAATGGACCATAGATCAAACAAAGAGTGAGAAACAAAATACAAGTGATAGGTGTGATATTTTATGCTCAGTCATTTTTTTGTCAACTCCGTATTTCTCTTCAGGTGGCAAAAGTACAAAGTTAATTTTCCTGACAGCTCAGTCATTTCTCTTCCAACATGGGAGTCGCCTTCTTGAGGTAACTGCCTAGTCAGCTCAGGACCTGTCCTTCTCCTTCACTGAATTTCCTTCTGGATGGCATCTGGGATTCAGGAATGCAGCAATGGAGGTAAGGAGGAATGAATGACTCCTGGTGGCCCCAGCTCAGGTGAGCCTCCTTCCACATTTTTCCATGCTATCCCTGACTCTGTCCATCTGTTTCCTCTCTTAGCTATGATCTAAATTAGTGGTTGTCAACCGTCCTAAGGCTGTGACCCTTCAAAACTGTTCCTCATGTTGTGGTGATCCCCAACTATAAAATTATTTTTGTCACTACGTCATAACTGTAATTTTGTTACTACATCCATGTCTTAAATCTGTTCATGGAAAACTGAGTGTAAAGCACACCCTTCAGATTACAGTTCCCGGGGGAGGGACAAATGCATGTCATCCCTCACCCATCATCTGAGGAGGGCTGCCTCTCTTTATTTATTGGAGGAAGTCATCCAGGAAGAGAGTCAGCACTTCCAGGTGGAAGTCAACAACATTTGTTAGAAGTGGGAAGGCCAAGGGAATGCAGCTGGGGCATTGCCCACCAGTCAAAAAATCCAGGGCTCCAGATTGCTTCCCATTTCTTGACGTGGCAAGAAATCATCTCTTACATTATTATATATTTGTGACAGAGCTTTCCAACTGGCATACCGCAGTCCCTCCATGGATACACAAAGATATAGAGATATTGAACCCCCTTGCAGTTACATGGAACCTGGGGCAGTGCAACTGAGTGTCAGTCGCCTTGGTTGTGAGCAGCCTTGGTACAGAGCTTCTAAGGTTCTCAGGGTAATGATTATCCAAGATATCCTCACCTTATCCTACCAGCCTATGACTGTCTTAACTTATGTACTTATAAAAAGGATTGGTGTAATGAATTTCCAGATGTTGAGAAGGGGCCAGCATCCTGGGTTGTTTGGGTGGGTTCAGTGTAATCCAAGGATCCCACAAGAGGGAGGCAGAAGAGTTCACCTTCAAACAGCAAAAAAAAATCCAATGAAGCTGAGGTGTTATTGGAAGCACTCACGTTTCATCAACGTTATTGGTTCAAAACATACACCTCAAGCACTTTGAATTGCACATGCTGTCACATGATGCAACACAAGATGTTCACTGTCAGAAACACCTCATCTGATGCATGGCTATTGCGTGTTATGAGTTGTGGTTTTACTGTATATGCTGAGTTTTCTGCTCAAGAGAAACATAATGATTTAATTATGGAAAATAAGAACTCAATATTTTCCTGCCATCATTTCTGAGCATGATGTATATTTTTAGTATTAATTCCTAGTACATTTCTAAATTGTGTTCTGTTAAAATTTTATTTTAAAACCTGCTGTTTGAGTTACTGATGAAGTTTTCTGGGTTTGATGGGTGTAGTGGTTCACTGGAGAGGCAGAGACAGGCTGATCTCTGAGCTCAAGGTTAACCTGATCTAACAGAACGAGTTCCAGGACAGCCAAGGATATACAAAAAAAAAACCCTGTCTTGAAACACCCTCCCTCCAGAAAAAATCCACAAAATGGGGGCTGGAGAGCACTGACTATTCTTACAGAGGACCCAGGATCTATTCCCAGCACCCATTTGACAAGCAATTGTAACTCTGATTCCCAATTAATTTGGGCCTCGCACCACACACAAGACATACAGTGTGTGTGTGTGTGTGTGTGTGTGTGTGAGAGAGAGAGAGAGAGAGAGAGAGAGAGAGAGAGAGAGAGAGAGAGAGAGAGAGAGAGAGAGACTAGAAGATTGGTGTCAGGACGCCTAGGGCTGGAGTTACGGATGAATGATTGTGAGCTACTTTGTCAGTGCTGGGAACTGAACCTGGGTCTTTGGCAAGAGCAGCAAGTGCTCTAACTGCTGAGTCATCTTTCCATCCCCAAATTTTAAAAAAGTGAGTTTTGGTTTTGGATGAAAGCAGAATTTCCAACAATTTTTGAAATGGCCCTAAACACACTTCTGAGATTTTGTATTACCTATTTATGAAAATGGCTGTCTTGGCATTGAGTGTGATGCAAAGATCAATGAATTCTGCAAAAAAGTAGAAGATGCTCTATGTCTTGCAGTGTCTAATACTTAACTTTAATTCTTTGTCTAAAATTAAACAAACCTATTCATATCATCAATATACAAATTTGCTTTTGACTTTAATAAATGGCAAACCAATATATATAGCCAACCATTGTTTTAAACTATAATTCTTTTTTCCAGCAGTGGTGGTGTACATCTTTATTCCCAGAACTCAGGAGGTAGAGACAGGCTGATCTCTGTGAGTTTGAAGACAGCCTGATCTACAAAGTGAGTTCCAGGACAACCAGGGCTACACAGAGAAACTCTGTCTTGAAAAACCTGTGTGTGTGTGTGTGTGTGTGTGTGTGTGTGTGTGTGTGTGTGTGTGTGTGCTCTTTAAGATTCATTATAGATAATTGCTTTCTATTCCTATTTTGTACACCTTTATACCCAGGGTTGGGTAAATTTTCTTGGGCAAAAAGGTTTGGGGGGTTGTAAATAAAAGGAGTATAAGAAGCCCTCATCTAAGCAGAGGAGAGCAAAGTAGTGACTCAGTGTTAAAACAACAAACATGAGGAAATAGGATATACTTATTGAATAAGTGATAAAATTGATCTGTTCTGTCTTTGCTAAAAACTTACTGAGATAAAATGAAAAATAATCAATAGGGAAAGAAATGGCTTGCAAACCAGGCTCCATGAATGTGGGTGTCAGTTAGCAGGCCTGGGCAGTCTCTGGGGGCCTCTGGCAGTGAAACCAGTATTTATCCCTAGTGCACAAATCGACTTTGGGATCTCATTTTCCATGGAGGGTTACTCTCTCAGACTAGATACATGGAGGAGGGCCTAGGCCCTGCCCCAAATGATGTGACAGACTTCGATGATCCTCCATGGAAGGCCTCACCCTCCCTGGGGAATGGATAGGGGGTGAGAGGGATGGTGTAGGTGGGGGGCATGGGAGGATAGGAAGGAAAGGGAACCTTTTTTAAAATTAATTTTTAATTAAATAAAAAACAACCTTATTTTACATACCAATCCTAGTTCCCCCTCCTCCCACCCTGCCCCACCCCTGACCCCCCATTCTCCCCAACAGCCCCCCCCATCCCACCTCCTATCCACTCCTCAGGGAGGCTGAGGCCTCCCATGGGGGAATCATCAAAGTCTGTCACATCATATGGGGCTCCTAATTCCCCCCTCTAGATACCCACTTCCTCTAGCTGGGCCACACACACACACACACACACACACACACACACACACACACACACACACACACACAGCTTTCTAAAACTGCACTGTGAACTGTGGACCAAATGTTGTAGCACACCTTGACTCGAACCACAGTGGAGATTCTGGTCTTCAGGCATCCTTGGAAATCACCTTCACCACACAAGTGAGCCCTGTTAATTTCACCTCAGATGGGTTGCAGAATCCAAGTGGCCTCATCAGCCCTCTGCTCCCTGAGTCCTAGACACCAGCCTCATGTGTTCATCAGCAATGGTGGGGACAAACAATGGTCCCTCTCCATTTCTGGTGTAAGAGGGTACTGGGAATTGAACATATGGCCACACACATGCTACACAGATGCTGAGGGGTAGCCTCAGTCTTCTTTTTCCTTGTTTTTTTTCTTTGGAAACATAGTCTTACTCAGTTTCTGACCGGCCTTGAACTTCTCATCCTCCTGCTTCAGCCTCCCAAGTAGTTGGGTGTTTTAGTTTGCTTTTCTGTTGTTGCGATAAACTACCCTGACAAGAAGCAATTTGGGGAATGAAAGGGTTTGCTTATCTTATACTTCCATGTTATAATCCATTATTGAGAAAAGCCAGGGTAGTAACTCAAGCAGGAACTGAAGCAGAAGCCATGGAAGAATGTGGCTTCCTGGCCCACTCACTAGCTTGCTCAGGCCAGCTTTCTTAAATGGCCCAGACCCACCTACCTAGGGATGGTGCTACACAGTGGGCTGGACCCTCTCACATCTGTCAAGACTCAACAGGTCAATGTGACAGAAACAGTTTATATGAGTTTCCATTTTCCCAGGTGACTCTAGGTTGTGTCAAATTGACAGCAAAAACAACCAGCACACTGAGATTATAGGCAGGCAACATCGGGACCGGGAGTTTTTAAGTTTGTTAAGACAACAACTCACTTTGTAATCAAGGCTGTTTTCATTTCCTGAGAGCTGAGTTCACAGGTATGAGCCACCACACCCAGAGCAGTGGTTCTTTTAAAACTTAAATCACATTCTGAACTCCTCAAAACCCTTCAATGTCTCTCTGTCGTTCTAAATTATACTGAAAAATCACTGAAAGGACCTATAAATCCCTACATGATTGTCCCTGTCCCAACACCTTGTGTGACTCTCCTGTGCTTTCTCCTAGTCCACTCTGTTCCTGCCTTTAGGCCCAGTGTAGCTACTAAAACACAGAGAGAACTCTCCACGGCAGGATCTTTGCATGTGCGGTCCACGGTACTCAGGACCATCTTCCCTCAGTCACACAGATGTCCTTAAGGACTTGCTCACTTTTTTAGACGGGGTTTCCTGACTATCTAAGATGAGCAGGTCAACTCCTTAAGACAGCTCTGTTATATCTTGTTGTACCTTTAAAAAAATAATATCTTTCATTTGGTTGTTGACAATTTTACACACACGCGCACACACACACCGCAATGTATCTTGATCTATCCACCACCCCATGCCTCTGTCACTTCCTTTCCCTCCTTCAAGCTTGATCCTCCTCTCTATCCATTGGGTCCAATTAGTGATGCCCATCGGAATGTTGACTGGTCCTGTGCTGATAACCATAGCTTCAATAACCTCATGAGCGCAATGGCCAAGCCAAGTGCAGAGGACAGCATTTCCTACTCTGCTCCCTCGTCCTCGGGCTCTGGAGTTCTTTCTGTCCCTTCTGTGATGTTTCTTGAGCTGGGCAGTCAGGACGGTTGATGTTGATGTCCAGTCTGAAGCAGAGCCCTTGTTGGTCTCTTTCTCAGCACTCTGACCAGGTCTGAGACTACACCCACTGCAGAGAGAAGCTTCTCTGGCCAAGGCTGAGGACAAGCCACTGTTCTTTCCTCCACAGCACTTCTCACTCCCAGCTGCGATACTCCTCACCGTTTGTTTATTATCTATCCATCCTGTGTGCTGGAAGTTCTAATAGGACAAACTTGGAGTTAGCTTGGTTCACCGTATTCGTGTATCCACAACCTTAGCACACTGTCTGACAGACTACAGGGACCATAGATAGTATTTTTAGGAATAAACCTAATTAGACTGAAGGAAAGTATGTGTATTATTATTATTATTATAACAGGGTAAAAGCACACACCTGTGGAAATACATTTCATCATGGCAATGGCTGTGATGAGTGTGGTATGTGGGAGATTTAATTTTTTTCCTTTCTGAAGACTCAGGATGTTGCTCATTGGTAGGGAATTTACCAAGCATGTGTGAGGCCCCCAGGTCCAACCCTCAGTACTGCCAAAAGCAGACAGCATTCTTTCCTGAACATTCTTCGAGGTGGTTGTGTGACTTCTGTACATATTTGGAAATTACTATTTTTTCCGTCTTATAACAAACCATGTGATGGCCAAATGTAATACATTCTAAATGAAATCTGTTGGAAAGTTTTCAAGTTTGCCTGCTGGGCTTTCTTTGAAGTGACAGCACAAATACAAGAAGCTGTGTCTCTATATGACATTCTCTCTCTCTCTCTCTCTCTCTCTCTCTCTCTCTCTCTCCTTTTCTCTCTCCCTCCCTCCCCTCTCATATGAGTGATTTGCCTGCATGTATGTTTGTGTACCACACGCATACCTGGCACCTGTGGAAGCTGGAAGGGGCATCAGATCCTCTGGAACTGGACTTACAGACAGTCACCAGCTGCCTGATGTAGGTGCTGGGAACCAAACCTAGGTCCTCTGCAAGAGCAAGTGCTCTTAATCAGTGAGCTATTTCTCCAGGCCCCCTCTGACATTCTTAAGAAATCCGACAGCGTGTGCTTGCCAAGTCCCCCAAATTGCCCAGATTAAAAATATACTTTATCAAACTCCACATTGCATCCTTCCTGTGTCTGGATAAATGTCCCCCCAAAAGCCCATGTGTTGGAGCCCCTTTAGAAGGTGGGGTAACCGTTAGGAAGTTGGGCCTAGTACTCCAGTTAGGTCACAGGATCAGGTCACACTGGGGCTCTTCCTTCTTTTTGCTCTTTGACTACCACTAGGCGAGGTGAGGCGAAGCCTCAGAGAGTCACCAACACAGGCTCAAAAAAACGTCAGGGCCAACTGACCCAAACTCTCCTATGCTGAAACCAAGGCAAGGGAAGCCTTGTCCTTTACAATTTGGTCTTCTCAGGAATTTTGTTACAGCATTGCAAAGCCAAGAAAAACAATTCCAGACATACATACAATGAAAATTAAACTTTTATTTTAGAATAGTTTTAGACTTACAGAAACTTGCAAGGATTCCCAGTGCCCTCAAAATCAGCACACCTAGTCTCCTGTCATTCATACCTTACATTAGTATTCTGCATTTGTCATAACCAAGGCCTCAGTACTGATACATTATTGTTCACTAAAATCGATTCTATTCAAATCTCCTTAGTTTGTCCCCAATGCCCTTTTTCTGTCTCAGTGTCTCCTCTAGGATATAGTCACAGCTCAGTTGACTGTCCTGTTTCCTTGGACTCTTCCATTGAACTCTTGGTTGCTAGAGGCCAGGCATCCTCACTAGTTTCAATGTCTTCTGAAACAGTACCTGGGCAAATGGTGAATTTCATCGACCCGGTTTCTATTTTAAAATGTCAACTATTTGATGGAATGATTTAATACTTGCTTCTGAGTAGCTTTATCTGCCTAGACATCTCTCCCTCCAATATGAACACTGATGTTTCACTTGGCCCTGAGGATTTATGAAGGGCTTTGTTTATTACAGCTGGCAGATCTATGGAGTGTGGCTGACTTCAGAGAAAAAGCTGGTCCTGTGGTTGGAATGCTACCTGTGTCTCATCTTTGATTGTCAGAAGAACTGGGTGACATCCACCCCATTGCCTTTGCCTGCTCCACTTTGGGCTGGGTCCTACAGACACTGAGGACACTGATCTAGGAATCCTCACAGCCATTTGTGAGGATCCCTAGAACACATACAGGAACCCCAACATAAATAATAATGAGTGTTACCTGTGCCCAGGGCCTGTTATTTTATGTTACATACACAACACATCCGATCCTTACAATGTGCAATAAATAATTACACAGTAAATACTTTTGTCCCAATTTTAGTTTGGGAAACTGAGGCACAGAGAAGGTAACCTGCAGATACACAAAGGGTAAGAGCCAACCTGGGATCTGGAATTGCCAAGGCGCATGTTCTGTCAATGAGCATCTCCTAAACCTTTTGTGGAGACAGAGACTTCTGAAACTATAGCATTCTTTAGGTGGCCAAGGGAAGGACCATAGACAAGAGATTGTCTGACAATGTGGCTGTTTCCCATTTATTCGGGGCCTCAAAATGAAAAAAATCCAGTAAATAGTATCTAATATGTTCAAGTTATGAGAAGGGTTCTGGTGAAGCCAATTCAAATCCTAGAAAGCACACTGAACTACCCATTGCCAACTTAAGTTCCCACTCAATACATTTTCTTCCCCGGGAAAGCCCAGTTCCCTAGCGTGGCCAAGCTTCCATGTTTACTCTTGGAGGCACCTGACTGGCACTGGGCATTGTGGTTCACTAGGTCTGGTGCCTGTGGCCTACCTAACATTCTCCAGGTGTCACCAACCCTTCCTTGTTCCAAGGAAGTCCTTATAAAACGTCTTCATGAGTCCTAGGAATTAACATCTATTCTCAAGATATAAAATAATTGAGGTGTTGGGTTCCCCTCAGAACACTATCCAAACTGTGTGTGCTGGTTCATGCCTGTGATTCCAATACTTGGGAGGCCGACACAGGAGGGTTGCTGTGTTTGTGTCTAGTGAGTTCCAGGCCATCTTGAGTTATAGTGTGGGATACTGTCTACCCAAGACAAAACAAAAACCAAAAACTTGCCCAAACACAGTAAGTTCTGTCACTGTTAGCCAACATCCTGTACTTGTTTATAGAAAGTATTGGCAAAAGTTATACCAGTGTCCTTCAAAGATTGTTCCATACTTTGTGACCTAAACCACCATGACCTACACAAGAAACATGGCCAGGATGTGATAAATACCTCGGAGATGCTGCTTGCACATACTAGATAGGAGCTAGAAGATCAGGTTCAGATCTCACTTAAAGAAACTCTGGGGTCAAGCCGGGCGGTGGTGGCGCATGCCTTTAATCCCAGCACTCGGGAAGCAGAGGCAGGCGGATCTTTGTGCGTTCCAGGCCAGGCTGGACCGATAGCCTCCGAAACAATACAGAGAAACCCTGTCTCGTAAAAAAAAAAAAAAAAAAAAAAAAAAAAAAAAAGAAACTCTGGGGTCTTTGTGTAAGTCACAGCCAGGGATGATTTTGTCCTCAGGGGATAGTTTTAGGTTGTTACAATTGGGATGCTTTGCTATTGACTTCAAGTGGGTTGAGGCCAAGAACATCATTTAACTTTGGCCATGCACAAAACAGCAGCACCTGCAATAAAAATTTAACCAGCTCAAAAAGTCAGTAGTGCTGGTGAGAGAAGCCCTGGTGTAAGGTGAGAATGCCCAACCGGCTCTAACTGCTAAAGCTTATGTGCTTTGCCCAAACACACGCTATATCCTAACACACAGGTCTTCAGAGCTCTTGCATCACCTTTGGGGTATCTTCAGTTGGGTGTGTGAAAAGAACCATAGCTAGGGGCTGGAGAGATGGCTCAGAAGTTAAGAGCACTTCTTCCAGAGGTCCTGAGTTCAATTCCCAGCAACCGCATGGTGGCTCACAACCATCTAGTACATACACTATTATCTAGGAGCTAGAAGACCAGGTTCAGATCTCACTTAAAGCAAATCTGCTCACAACCATCTTATAATGATATCTGGTGTCCTCTTCTGGCGTGCGTGGAGGCAGGATGTTGTATTCATAATAAATAGATAAATCTTTTTAAAAGGTCATACTGGTTCTCAGTAGCTCTCTAGTGCCTATGCACTGTTCCTCCTAGAGTGTTTCAAGTTCTAATTGGCACTGCAGTCATAGCGCACCTAGTCCGAGTGTAAAGACCCCCGTGTGAAGCTGTGTGCGAGACACACATGCTGAAAGTGAAGAAGTGAGAAGCAGGCAGGCTTTTGAAGTTCAGTTAGCTCTGAGTCCATCTGCGACCTTCCAAGGCCAGGGTACAGCCTTGTTGTTGTCCCATCACCCGGACCTCTCATTACTGTCCCCATCACAGGGAGAGATGTTTAAAAAGATACATTGCCCCCAAATAATAAGTATAAAGCTCAAAAGCAATAAGTTAGTGTTTTCAAACAACTTTAACTTAAGGCCTTAAATTTAAGACCGAGTACTTACACTATTCACACAGAGTAAAACTATACTTATTTTCAAATGCTCCAGATATGTCATAGTCACTCGGAATTTCCCCGGAAACTCATTTTGTTTTTGTTTTAGTCTGTGGAGATAGGCCGCAGCTGGCCTCAAACGCCATATGTAGTTAAGGATGCTATGAATTTCTAGACCCCTGTCTTCACCTCCCAAGTGCGTGGATTACAGGTTTATGCTACTGCCCCTGAGTCTGTAGTGCTCAGGATGACACGGGTTTCTGTCAGCACTCTCCCAACCGAGCTGCATCCCAGATCTTCTTGAGCAACTCTTATTGGTTCTGGGCTTTCTTTCTGCCCTTTCTTGAGTTTGCTTCCCAGTCGGTTTTTGCAGCTATTCCTTGAGATCTTCAGAGGATAGGGATGGAAAGTGCAGTGTTCCTACCGCCTGAAATAAAGAAAAAAAAAATCTTACAAAGCCATTTCTCCTTCTTTGCTAAGTGGGGAGATGGGTGGAGTGATCGGGGTGGGGCGGCTGGAGAGATACAAGGACAGGTTAAGAATATCTAAATATCACCATGCAGACTTCTGTATAATGTGCTGCTGACTTATTTCTTTGGAGTTCCATTCCACAAACCTTGGCGTTTTCATAAACTCAGCGTCTACTCCACACAAAGCCGAGAGTTTTGTTTTTTCTGCGTCTGGATGATTAAAATGGGCACGTGGAGGAAAGAGATGACTGAGGTTAGAATCTGGGTTTAAACTGGACCTCTCACTGTGAACTGTGAACAACTTCCTTGCCAACTTCTTCCTTTCCTCTCTGTCTCTGTAATCGCCTGGTACTAAAACCAGCTGCATCTACAGTGGTCATCACCCAGAGAACAACGGGACTCTGCTCCCAATATGTCATTTCTCCTTAAAGTCAGAAAGCAACAATGTTTCGGAGGAGGAAAGGAGTATTACCGGGTTCCCAAATTTCCTCCAAACCACGAAGGGAAAACACGCTTCTCCGCTTCCACTCTGAGATGAGCACTGCACCGCTGCGTGGGCCCTGATAATAAGAGCGCAAAGCGTAAATGGCTCGGGGATTATTGGCTTTCGCCCTTGGACTGAGACGTGAGATCACGATTTTCAGCCTGGGGAAGGAACCGCCTCTACCAGACTGAGGCTGCCGCTTCCCCTTCCTGCGCGGGTCCTGCATGACATCACGGTGAGCTCTTGCTGGTAGGGGGAGAGGCGACTTCTCCCGGGACCTAGCCCCAGACAGGGAAGGATAAATCAGATAAAAAAAAAAAAAGGGAGGGGTGGGGGTGGGAGTAGTAGTGTCGAGAAAGAAGAAAAAGGAAAAAAAGGGGAACCACCACACCATGTATAGCGGCTGTGTGTACAGGCAAAACGGAGCAGCCTTAAGCAACTGCACCCCCCAAATGCTTTACTGCAACACCTCCCAGCCCATCTGAAGCCCACTTTTAAGTCCAACATAAACCGACACAGAAAGCTGGGGGGACCTGGGTTGAGAGGATTACGGGTACCTTAGTCAGGCGCTCCGGGACCAGTGAGGACCAGAGCATCCGCACTGGGGTGGGGTAGGGTGGGGTGGGGTGGACCGGAGGGCCGGGCGGGGCGCAGCAGCCAGCGGTTGCCTCCCCCGTCAGGCGACAACAGTCAGAGGGGGGAGGCAGAAGCGCCTCCTCCCCGCCTGGAGCCGGGGCTGCAGCGCAGGGGGAGGAAGGCGCCTCACCTAACCCCCGATGAGGGGCGGATCATGCCATGGCAGCCCCTGCGAACGACAGCGGTGGCAGCACCCAGAGCCGGAGCAGCAGCCCCGGGAGCCGGGAGGGAGTTGGGGGTACTGCGACGGGAGCTCGCGACGACAGGGACACGGGAGTCCGGGACACCACGGCGACCGCCCCCAACCTCCCTCCGCTCGAGGACTACGAGTGCAAAATCTGCTACAACTACTTCGACGCGGACCGGCGCGCCCCCAAGCTGCTGGCATGCCTGCACACCTTCTGCCAGGAGTGCCTGAGCCAGCTGCAGCTCCGCGCCGCCGCCGCCACCTCCAGCTCGGCCCCTGAGCGCGCGCCGCGCCCGCCACCCTGGCACGGCCCGCCCGGAGCCATCGCGTGCCCGGTGTGCCGTCACCGCACGCCGCTGCCGGACAGCCGCGTGCACGGTCTGCCCAACAACACCAAGCTCGCCGAGGCCTTCCCGCTGGCTCTGCGCGCCGCGCACGATCCGCTGCCCCAGGACCGGCTCCCGCCGCTGGCCTCCCGCCGCCCCGCGCCCACCGCCGCCCCGCCGCCAGCCTCTGCCCCGCAGCCACCGCAGCCGGCGCCACCACCCGCTGAGGACACCGCCCCCGGGCCTCGCAGCCGCCCAGGTCTCCGCGCCCCGGGAGCCTATGAGAGCTGTCAGAACTGCAAGCGTGCGGCGCTCACCGCCGGCTGCGTGTGCGTGGTCTTCTCCTTCCTCTCCATGGTGGTGCTGCTGTTCACCGGCCTCATCTTCGTCAACCACTACGGCGGCGGCGGGGGTGGGGGACCCCAGAGCAGCGGTTCGTCCCCCGGCCCTGCCCCAGCCCCCGGATCGCCGTCGCCCTCGCCCGTGGGACCTATCTGTCTGTCCGTGGCTAGCATACTGGCTCTCTTCTCCGTGGTGGTCACCTGGATCATCTGCTGGCTCAAGTATCGGCCCGAGGGGGCAGCCGCTGCCTCGGCAGGGAGCGGCGGAGGTGGCTCCAGGGCGCGGGCAGCCGCGGCTCCCAGCAGCGGCAGGAGGAGCGACACGTAGAGGGGCGGCACACCCGGCTCCCGGTGCATCGCCTGCCCCTGAGAAGCCCCAGAGGACCTGGCCTTAGGCTCAGTGCCCTGGGGCTTCTGCCCCGCTTCGTCTGTGACCATGCACCACCGAGTCAATGTGGAGCCTCAGTTTCCCGCCTCTGTCTTTCTGTTCTCTACTTTCTTTACTTAGGACGAGAGAGGAAAACAAGAGACACGGATGCTGGTGTTGGGTGTCAGGGCCCTTTTACTCAGATCTCTGCTTTATGCGCCGCCTCACCCTGCTCAGAGTGTGTGGCTGTCTCTTCCCAAAGTCTGAGGCTGTGCCGAAAGCGGATTCTTGGCGGCTGGGACTTTGGCATTCATTTAGGGGTGCGACGCGCGTGCTCGCCCGCAGCAGTTGTGAATGGACTTGAATCGCCTAAAGGGAGAATGAATGAGATGATGAGATGTAAACGCAAATGATCTTCCTGCTTCTCAAAGATCCCGGGGGGTAGGGGTGGGGGTGGGGGGCAGAAACTGACGGACAGTCTGGATCGACTCGCTGAGGGATGCGCGTCTGGACGGACTTAGCCCTAGGCGGCACCCCAGCCGAGCTGGGTAGGTGCTCAGCGCGCGTGCGCGTCCCGGGCAGCCTCTGTACTCCCTCAAACTGGCACGCACTGGTGGCTGATCCGTTGCTTTCCGCCTACTGGCTGGAGCCGAGCCCAGAAGTCTCATCTTCTGGAGGCTTGCGGTTGTTTTATTCACAGTGTTACTGCCAGGAAGTCATTTTCATCTTCTGTAACCGGACTCGACTCAGGGAGCTTAAAGAGCTTGACCTCCTTTCGCTCAAAACTGACTGACTGTTGCCCCCACCTGGAAGACACTGAAAGCTATTTATGCAGAGTATAAACTATAGGCTTCCCTCTTTCCCGTGACGCAACCCTTCCATTTCACTTAAAAATAATTTATTTTTGAATATATAAATCTCAAAGTTTTGCACATTAAGATCTCTAGAAGCTCTTTTGAGCCGTGTCATTTGTCTCATAACTCTGATCCAAATACATTTCAAAACAAGCAGAAAAACCAAGGCGTGTTAGTAATTCAGTCAAGATTTTATACTGTGAAGCAACAACTTCCAACTCTATATGAAAACACAAAGAATAATGCCCAAAGATGAAACTGAAAAGTGTCTCTGCCTCTGATGATTATCAAGATAGTGTACGTTTATCATACTTTGAGTTTAGCTTTCTGCTGTCGTGGAAATCGTTGAAATGTCCACACCCAATGGGGAAAAATACATATCGACCTGATTTTGAGACTAACGGAATGATTTGTGAATGTATGCTTCACGGGGTGTAGTTACCTTTTTAAAAGAAAAACATGTATTTTGTATGGAGACAAATGTCTTATTCCATCTTTTGGAAACTGGAAAAGATAGTTTTCATGCTTTGAAAAAAAATCAGAGATGTCACGAGGGGGAGGGGTGTTGTTTTTCCTCATGTATTATGTCGTCTGCATGATGCCCTGACACCATCTTATTAAGTGAACTTGAATGAAGCATTTATATCTATCATATGAGTGAAGTAATTTATTGGCCATCCATAAGTAGCGTGGCTACAATTTAGGAACCACAATATTGGTGTGTTAGATGTCTACATTGTCTTAATAAAAATAGGACGTATTTATAGAAAATAAGCCACATTGGTTTTGGTACAATTTTATTTCATGATGGGATTGCTCTAAGCTATTTACACAGCCTTTCTTTTCCTTGGATGCACATTCCCATCCAAGTCCCAACTGCGCATTTTGGATGAGGTTGAGAGAGAAGTCACTTATACATGAGTGTAGCTGGTTAAGATGAGCATTTTGTGTATTTCTGAGCTTTGTTTTCTTTAAAGAAATTTCCATGTTTTATTTTTAATGTATAAGCTTGCATGTGTGTCTGTGTAGCATGTGTGTTCCCATTGAAGCCAGAAGAAATCTTTGGATCCTCTGGAACTGGAGTTGTGAAAAGCTGTTGGAGTCACCATGGGGATACTGGGAATCTAACCCTGGTCCTCCCATGCTCTAACCGCTAAGTATCTTTCTAAGCCCCTGTTTCCAAGCTTTAATAAGACTCCCTGAGGACAGTTGTAATATCCTGGAGAGAAGGGTTTAGTCCCTGTAGCTGTAATAACCACAGAAACTAGATGCTGATGTCATCTTGTTTCTGTGAATTGCCTCAAGTCCCAAATAAGAGTCACATTTTAGAGATGCATTGTGACTTATTTATACTCCAAACAGCTTGTGTTGCTTTTAACCTATTTATATGATTTATTCACCCTTTCCTTACTTCAGCTCAGCCATTGTGTTTGTAATCACTGTGATGAAAATGCATCCACGCATGTATGTTTGTGTATATGCGGATGTATATGTATGGCATATGCACACTAGTAACAGACCTTGGCTTTTTGGATGTGGCCATGCATACACAAACATGTGTTTGCTATTTCATTCCCTCCAACTGGCAACCTAAAGTCTGCCTATAGTTACTTGGAGACCAGCTTGCTTCTTACTTATAGTTTATTTATGCTCCACAGAAGTGAGCCAATGATGTAGAATGAATTTATACAGGAGGAATGTGTCTTCAAGTTGCCTACATCACAATGAGAGCCACATTTTGCTTCTTTCATGGATAGCACATGTAAATTTCTTGTGAAAAATGAGTTAAAATCATTGAAGATATCATTAGAAGTTCGGTACCTAGAAACATTTTTCACCTTGGCTGGCCTTGCTTTGGTTGCCAATTTCTAACTTTGTCACCAGACATGGAGTGGTGACAAAATGAGGTGATGAAAATGCGTGTCCGCTCCTCCTGCATTCAGATGTGTGAACCCTCTCCCATTTTGTAGACCTGATTTAGCCATATACCTCTTGTTATTTTTATATTTATGCATCTTTTATTCGCCTTTTCTCTACCTCCAGTGCAGAAATTATTTCTGACTACTATAACAAATTGCATCTCCACATGTGTATATGAAAACATTTATTTATTTACTTATCTATTTGGTTACGGTTTTATAAAGCATGGTTTCCCTGTAGAACAGTCTTGGCTGTCCCGGAACTTGCTTTGTGGACCGGGCTGGCCTCAAACTCCTAGAGATACAACCTCCTAAATGCTGGAATTGAAGGTGTGTGCCACCATGCCTTGCTTAGGTATGAATTAAATATGCACACTAGTAACAGAACTTAGATTCCAGATACAGAAAAGTCTGACATAACAGCATCTTAGACAAAGCAGGAGCTTGGAAAGTCATTCAAATGATGTCTGAACTGTCTATAGGGCTTCTAGGATAAGGGGAGGGACCTTCCCATCTTCCCCTGACAATTCTCATTCTCTCTTGAGCATTTTTGTTTATTTGATTTTAGAGACAGGGTTTATCTATGTAGCCTCAGATGTCCTATAACTCACTGTGTAGATTTGGTTACTCAGAAATATTCGCCTGCCTGGCTCCCTCCCTCCCTCCCTCTGTCCCTCTCCCTCCCTCTCTCCCTCCATCCCTCCTTCCCTCCCTCCCTCTCCAGTGCTGGGATTAAAGGTGTGCACCACCACCTCCTGGCTTCCCTTAGTGTTTTAGAGGAGAGTGACTCAATCCTGGATGCAGATCCATGTCAAAAATAAGAAGATCCAATAAAATTCTATCTGGTCTGCCTTGCACAGAGTTTCGTGAACTTGGAAATCTCATCACTCTTTGTGCCTGAGTTCAAGACTGCAGGTTGGTTTAAATTTCAAGCGAAAGCGTTATCCTGAAAGCAAGAGGTTGGATGCTTTCTTGGCCCCTGAATACTAGCTGATTTAGAGCAGGATCCACCTCCAGAAAACACATTCACTCCTGCAGCCAGGAGATATGTTCTGAAGATTGCTTTCTCCTTATTTGAAAGACCCGGGAAACCATTTGTCCTCTTTGGTCCTTAAGCTCTTCATCTGTAAAATGTGAAGGGCCCACATCTGACTCCAGAGGCTTGCAGGAGGATTTATACTTATAGGAGGAGGAACAGCTAAACTGCTCTAGCTTTGCTGCTTTCATTCAAGAATGTAATGTCCCTTTCACAGAGAGTTCTGTCATGTCTACTCTCTGCTCCCAGACACTGGACCACTATCTACCCCTCCTGATGTTTAAAACTGCCTACAGATGTCTTGTTTATTTGCCCTGTTAGGTGAGGGGGAGAATACCATTATTCATAACCAGAATATGAAGTCAAGGACAGAAATCTTGTTTTCTGGTCCTCCCACTAAGCTTTGATGAGTTCTCAGCACAGAGTAAGTGATGATAAATACAGTGTTAACTTGGCAGAAGGAAAACCCTGAAATAAATTGTTGGACCACTTCACTCTCTGACTCCTTCTGCCAGTCAGTAACTCCTAAGATCTGAGGGCCATAGGTGGGGGGGGGTGGGACCCATGGACTTTCTCTTCTTCATAAGGATTTTTTTAAGGGTCAAGGAGAGCACAGTTGGTACTGCAAAGAAGGCATAGATCTGATCGCCAGCATGCCTAAAACTGAGCATGGTGGTGCAAGGTGCCCTCCTGTAATGTCAGTCCCCGGGAGGTGGAGGCAGGAAGATCTGGAGTTCAAGTCATTCTCAGATCTCTGTGTAACCCGGGCTACGTGAGAAACTCTGTCTAGAAACAAAACAAATGCATAAGACATATATTTATGAAAAGCACTTTGAGTCCAGAGGGAAAATGAGACACTACAGGGGAACTCACACTGCATATTCAACAACAGAACTACGGTAAAAGATATTTGGTTTCTGTTTCTAAGCACTTCTGTGTTGTCACATTTAGGATATGTTTATGAGCATACTTGTACTGCGCTTTCTATAGCGAGTGACATCGATGAACTTGGCAGAAGGCTTCCCCACAATACCAAGAATCAGTTCTGTTACATTTCTCATTACCTGGTACTCCCTATTTTATTAACTCAAAGTATTCACTAACCTGCTAATTTTATGGATCTGATTGCTGTGATGTGACCTGATTTGGTACTCTCTCACAGAGCCTAATTCTTAATCGTTAATATCTGTTTATTGCTAATAAGCAATATTAATGTCTTTACATTTCTGCTTTCACACAAACATGATTAAATTCAGATTGCAGGCATGCATCCTTGTTGAGGATACATCTCTCTTTCTTCCTTTGAAGTCATATTTTATTGTGCATGCTAGAGTGTGGCTTAGAAAAGTCCTACTATTGGAGCAGCCACTGTCTCTTCTCTCAGATGAGTGTCAGAAGCAACTGGAGTCAACCTAAGCTTGAAGCTATGTGGATGATTCAAGTGTGCAGGAGAGATTTTATCTGTAATTCACTAGGTCTCTTGATTGTCTGCGGAAGATAAGGTTTGTAAGGATTACCCTATCACTATTCCCTTCAAACAATTTTGATTCTGAGGTTTCTCCTCTCTTAAGTAGACCCAGCATTTGCCAAAGAGAAGCAATTTTCTTTCCGTGATAAATTTGC